GCAGAGAAGTGACAAGTCACTAATATTGTACTAACATTGTATGTACCAACAAATCAGTATGATTGTTGTTGTTGTTGAGATTAGTGGCGTTTCCATCGTCATTAAGCAATCATCAATGGTTCTTCTGAGTTTTTTCCAGTCAGGGCTTAAATTAATCCAAGGCCACCAAGGCCATGGCCTTGGATGCCCTTTGATGGGCCTCAATGCCCCTTTCATTGGCCTTGGGGATTTTTTGTGCCCTTTCCAATTCTTCCTATTTGTGCTGTATTATAGAAATGTGCCCTTCAGAAAAGTGGCCTTGCCCTAAAATGGCAGTCCCAAGAAATCAATGAATTTGAAAGAAATGATCGTCATTTGGATGACAACATCTTGTGTTGGGCCCCAGACGTAAATACAAAATGTACACATTACACATATTCAAAAGAGAAACATTAATGGATTTATTGATGTAACTTTAGTTCTTCTATCAAAGTTAGAAATTTCACTTAAAAAGGAAGATCACCCTTAAAGGTAAAGACCAGTATTGGAAATGCCCAAATCTCAAAAAATGAAATGGAAGCTCTTATTACCAATCATGTGTTTTGACTAATACATGATGATAACAATTTTGCCAGGAAACCGCCTACTAATTGATATATTTGGTAAATTAGTTTATCTACATGGTCTGTGAGAGATAAACGCACTTGTCGCGCACGTGTGCGTATAGTCCCATATACATTTTTCTGTGTACAGTGCTTGTAACTTTACGAAGACTGGGCTAAATTTCTTATCATTTTGATGATTCCAGAACCTTGCAATACACACCAATACCTATAAGCTAGATGATCAACCTTTTCTGATCGATTCCACAACGTTTCCTGCACAATGCAATCGCATGGATACAATACAATACAATAAAGTCATTTCTATAGCACTCTTACAAACTAACTGTTGTTTCACCTTTAAATAATTGTAAGGTTAATTTCAATAGATGCAGAAACATCAGAGGAACAAGTCAGTAAAAGTCTGAGCATGTGAAAGAAAGAAAAAAAAATTAAAGTTGGGATCAATAAAAAGCAAAGTTGCAGCAAAAATAATTTTCAAAGTTTGGATCAATAAAATGCAAATTGCAACCCAAATAACGTTTAATTTGAGAAAAACTTGTTGTAGGCAGGATTCGAGTATAATATATGCATTAAAACGTTTTAAGAGTCCGTAGCCTACATGTACATGTACATGTACATGTAGGTATGGCATCTATGCAAGGGTCCAGCCGATCTGACCCAATGATATTTTAGTATTAATTCATGAACCCAATATCAAAGGAATGATCCAATTGGCATTGACTGTTGGTATGTTGTCCAGGTAATATATCAGCCAGGTCAAAGATCACAATTTGAACATGGAACACTTCAGCTTGCAGGTTCCAAGAAAGCATTGGACAGATATGTGTAAAGTAAGAATGTCAACTGATTAAGGGTATACTTTACTTGAGCGTGCGGCATTTGACAACGTATAGACATGTATCAATTAGATATGATCATTTACATCCGACTCTGACGACCAACTTTTACTTTTAGTTTTAACGTCGCCATCCAAAAATATGTGACTCAGCCTTTGAACCAAGACATGGCCCGCCAAGGCCGAGTCAGTTTGTAGACAGAGACAGATATTGCTGCTAAAACCACTCCAGCAAGGCATAGAGTCAATGCTAATGCGTATTGACCTCTAGCGCTGTACTACGTGCTGAGACTGAGAGGCAGCAATTACACAATTGCAGACAATCATGACAATACGATGTGACTGATTGGCTAGTTTGACAGTAGACTCATGATTTGAATTGTCAAAATATTCTAACATCAGTTAAAGTTGAAAAGATTGTATATTACTGTGAGGTGTCATCAATTGTCACTAAAGACGAGTACCGATTTTGAGTGCATGAACTCAGTTGAGTTACTATAGATCTAGATCTAGACCTCTAGATCTAGAGATCTAATTCAACAGTAGGGGCGCTAGTCCGAGAATAAGGATTGTCTGCATAAACGAGGATCGTCTTCGTAAAAGCGGACCGATACTTCCTCCAAAAAAAAAGGATCGTCTGCATTTTCGCAGACATTTCATATTTTTGATTGGCGCATTGGGGATGCGAAAAACAGATTATGCAATGATTTTTTTTCATGCATTTTACGTTGAATTTGTACAGAGACTTTCACATTATGAGCAATAGATCCTTGGGAAGACGGATAACCCATAAAAGTAGACGAGGGTTATTCTCTAAGGCGGAATCCATTTTTCACATCGCCAGCAGGCGGTTCAGTAACCCGAAACCCACAATGAAAAGAAACGTCCACGAAAATGCAGACGATCCTTAGTTTTGAGGATGCATTTTGTCCACGTTTATGAGGACAATCCTTATTCTTGTTTCAGCGCCCATAGATCTAGATCCTACTGTTCAATCTTACAGTGTTTGAAATTTTGAGAATCAATAGTCTATCTAGATCTAGACTAGGCTACTAGGCCTAGATCTAGATCTAAATCTAGATCTAGAACAGTTTTTAATACATACACAGCCAGGGATGATTATGGGATAGTAGGCCTATGTGTGTGCTAAACCACCTCACATCTGGGGAAGGTTGACAAATGTCACTTTAATAAAAGAATTCCCGATACCAGCCGGTTATTTCTGTCCAGTACGGTACACGGTACACCCCACATAATTAATACTCCACACAGTACTACTGCAGCCCGGTATCACCGACAACTTCATCGGCCGCGGCCTATCGGCAGCAGACTCGCCGGCTTCAAGAGCGATTGTATAAATTATCACCGGCCATGACACTTCAGTCAATCAGCTCAGTTTCCTACAATCACAGACTACAAACACAGCAACACCATACTCTTCACATTCTATGCTCATACCACAATACGAAAATGTATTCGAAATATCAAAATTCGAGGCTAAAAGGAAGTGTTTACCTGGTTACACGACACAAAAATTTCCGGAAATTACGGAAACACAATTTTCCAAATCTATTTTTGAATGCTGCCACTTACGTTGGCGTAACGAACGTATTATAATACATGCAATCATACAATACACATTAGTAATAATAAAGCTCGTTGATAGGGGCCCCTTTTTACCTCCGATAATGACCCGTTTTCCTTTTGATAAGGGTCCACAGCTTTTCCTTTTTTTTTATAAGAGCCCCTTCCTTTTTCAGTTCAATGCCATCTGATACTGATAGATGCCCCTTGTTCTTCGACATTATGCCCCTTTTCTATTACCATACGTGCTTTTTTTTTCATCCCATTTATAATTGGCATGATTATATGTTACTTATTAAAGGCATTTCCAGTCTTCATGGCTGGAAACCCTATCAGGATTGTATTTTTTCTTCTTTTTTGTAAGATTTAATTTTTCGCATTGTAACGTCACAAATCTCAAAATTTGAGAGGGACTGAGAGAGAGAGAGAGAGAAGGTGGGAGAGAGAGAAGGGGGAAAGGAAGAACAGGAGGAGGAGGAGTAAAATTCAAATGTTTAATCTAAACCATTATATTGAACCTAATTGTTTTCTCTTTTTAAAATCAGAATCAGCACCGTTTCCCCGTAAAACACTCCTGTATCTTGTGTAACAAATCGCAACAGTTATGAGTGAGAGAGAGGGAAAGAGCTGGAGCGTGAAAGAAATTTAAAAAAACGGGTATAGAGAAAAGAGAAAGAGCGAAAGAGGGAGAGGGAGAGGGAGATGAATACATAAAGAAAAGAGGGAGAAAGAAATGCTATGACAGAGAGAGAGAGAGAGAGAGAGAGAGAGAGGGTGGGGAGAAGACAGAGAGAGTGTGAAAGAAAATGGAGGGGGAGAGAAAGAGAAAAGATAGAGCAGAGAGTGTGAGAGAGAATAGAGGAGGCGAGAGAGAGAGAGAGAGAGAGAGAGAGAGAGAGGGGGTGGGGAGAAGACAGAGAGAGTGTGAAAGAAAATGGAGGGGAGAGAAAGAGAAAAGATAGAGCAGAGAGTGTGAGAGAGAAAGAGAGGGTAGAGAGAGGGGAGAGAAGACAGAGAGAGGGTGTGAAAGAAAATGGAGGGGAGAGAAAGAGAGAGACAGGCAGAGAGACAGACATACAGACATGGGCTACAGACAGACAGACAGAGAGATAATCATCATTGTAGTGGAACAGGAGGAGGAGGAGGAGGAGGAGGAGGACTAAAATGTAAACGTTTAATCTAATCATATTAAAACATGCAGGGAGGTGATTATTTGCTCTTTTTAAAAGAAAAATAAGAACCGTATCCCACAAAAAAACACTCCTGTATCCTTGTGTAGAATACCGCAACAGTGAGTGAGAGAGAGAGAGAGAGAGAGAGAGAGAGAGAGAGAGGGGGGGGGGGGGGGGGGACAGTGAAAGTAAGAAAAGGGATAGGGAAAAGCGAAAGAGGGACAGGGAGAGGGAGATGTACACAGATCCAGTTAAAAAAAGAAAAGAGGGAGAAAGAAATACTATGAGAGAGAATGGAGGGAGAGAGAGAGAGAGAGAGAGAAAGTGTGAAAGAAAATGCAGGAGAAGAGAGAGAGAGAGAGAGAGGAGAGAAGACAAAGAGAGCAGAGGAGAGAGAATGGAAGGGATAGAGAGAGGGGGAGAGAGAGAGCTAGGGGGGAGAGAGAAAGAGAGAATGTGAAAGAAAATGGAGGGGGAGAGAAAGAGAGAGAGAGAGAGAGAGAGAGATAGGAGGGAAGACTGAGAGTGTGAGAGAGAATGGAGGGGGCGAGAAAGATAGACAGACAGACAGATAGACATACAGAGAGACAGAGAGACAGAGAGAGAGGAAAGCACAGAGATGGAGACGGGGAGAAGACGGAGAGAGAAGAGGAGATAGGGGAGACGATGAGAGAGCAGGCGCACGAGAGATGCTGGTTGGTAGGCTTACTGCGCTCGCAACTAACGAGATAATGTTATGCTTTGCTTGTCTTCGTTTTGGAATTCAAGGAATTCATGGTATTCGTGAATACATTACTGCCAAATCTCTCCCATCAGTTCGTGAAGAGACAAGGGATCGGATAGCATCTCATTCTAAGCGAGCTCAACTTCACCAAGTCGCTGTTTTGGAGAATAATACTTCGTCGATATTTCAACCATTTTTTGGTAAGTACATTTTCTTGCTTGTACATCTCTAATTTGTGAATTATTATAAATCACAGCTAGTATATCCATGGTTAAAGAGAGAAATGGAAAAATGAGTTTCGATACGTCTATTCACTTCGGCTTGTACTATTGGATGCATGCCACGCCACGGGCCATCCAGTGCGTGTAGCCTGGATAGTGCTGTCTTGTTGAAAGAGAAACTATTTCAAATCTTAAAGTTTATATTAATTTTATATTCGAATAAAATTTACATGGATTAAAAATTATCATGATGCATTACAGAAATATTCCTAAAAATGAATGTATGATCTAAAGTAGGCCCTATGTGGGTCATTATAAAATTCTTGCTCTGGGGAAGTTATCATTAAATGCTATAATCTCTTGAGTTTTGGTAAACGGTAAAACCGGTGTATTTTAGATGATATGATATTTATATAATTGAAAATAGTCTAATAGTCTGTTGAACGCCAGAAGGACATTAATACCTCTATATTATGAGTTAAAGGTAATATAAAGTTTTGGTATGGGGTCATGAATTTGGTTCAAACGAACATATTGGAAGCATATGCGATCCTATAATATTCAGTGATCATTGTCGCGGTTGAAATCGAGTCTAAAGTTATAATATTGTAAATAATAAACTCTTTATGTTGTATAGCTCCCTCTCAAGGTCAAGATATTAATTAAGCTATAAAACAATGTTTCTTGACTAAAATCGACCGATTAGCTATTTCCGTTTGGAAATTATTTATCACAACTACATATTCTGAGATTTTCATGGTCGCAGCAACCATTGTACGGCCGTAGGCGCTATTTGAAATTTATCCAAATTTACCGGGAGCACCGGTAAATTTTTATATTCAAATTTTCTCGACAGCAGAATTGTTTCAGGGGCTAAATTTTCTACTGCTTATAATACATCCGCAGGGGCATCCAAATATATGAAAATTGTAAAAAAAAATCACTATCCACCTCATTTTCAAAATATCCCAAAACTTTGTATTACCTTTGTCCAACCTTCATAAACAACTATTCAAGAAAGCAGGAAAATCATAAGTGTAGAGGGGTAAAAGTTTTAATGAAATCTTATACAAGAAAATATTTCAACGGTGCTTTCACTATACGTACGGGCACTAATTCAGATTGACCGTATCTGAAATGTCATTGTGACGTATTGCCTGACAACTTTCCTTCCATTAGCTACAAATATTACAATTTTAAAATAAACGACTTGCGATGGTCTTTTCCTTTTAAACTAAAGTACCTATAATAATATCCTATCCATACTCCAGAATACATTTTTGAGTAGTGCCGCAAAAGAGAAGGCAGTTAGGAAGGACAAAAACAGAAACTAATGATAAACATGATAAATGGGAGAGTTGTTCGTGACTACGTCACAATCCACTGACAAAATTGTCAATTGAGATTCGCATACAAGTCATATTTGATCTCATATGAGCCCCCGGACACTCTTGAGTTTTAGCAATTCAGAACCTGCAAGATCTACAATCTATGTGGACTCCTTGGAGGTTGTTTGGGGCGACAATGAAATGGACCTTGAGACACAGCTTCTCCATAACTTCCCTTCTTTAACAGTGCTGTTCTAGTTGGATGCTTCACTGTTTGATGTTCAGTACATGTCCTAGTTGGACTGCTCCTATTTCTTCTCCATTTAGTTCCTTCTTGCAAGATGTTGTTTGCCAAGCTATTTTTCCATGATGGTGAGGAGGTGATCGATAAAAACTCCAATCTATGCACTGCCCCTAGAATAAAAAACAAAGGGTTTTCTTGGGAACCAGTCTTCTGTCTTTACGGATGGGGTCCAGGGGCCAGCCTTTGGGCCTCTGTATGGTTGCAGGACCTTCTTTAGTTTTTAACAATGAAAACCCTTCAAGATGGCCGTCAGGTGCGATTGACATTGTAATTTTCTCCTTGAATTCACATAGCCCCTATTTCATGTCGTTAGAAATAATCTCTCTTTCTCTCTTGAAGATGATTGCATATAGGACTGGATTATTTTGATACTGTTCTATACTTCCGTCCGAAGTCCCCCCCCCCCCCCTCTCTCTCTCTCTCTCTCTGTGTCTCTCTCTCTGTCTGTCTGTCTGTCTCTCTGTCTGTCTCTCTCTCTCTCTCTCTCTCTCTCTCTCTTTCTCTCCATCTGCTTCTCTTTTACCTTCCTTTTTCTTTCTTGTCTCCCCTTTTTTGCGGCCAGAAACTAAAGGGGAGGGCCGCGGCCGATTGCCCCCCCCCCCCTCCCGATCCGCCATTAATGCAATCATGAGACATAGCTTGCGTTGGGGTTGGGTTTCCGGACCCGTTATTCAGGGTGGCTATCTCTCTCTCTCTCTCTCTCTCTCTCCTCTTCCTCTAGTTTTTATTTATGTTACCTTCTATGTCCTCTTTCTCTTCTCCTTTTCCCCGTCGTCCCCCCACATATACGATCCGGCACTGGTACTAGTAGTATATAGTAGTAGTTGAGTAGTAGTAGTATAGTAGTATTAGTAGTAGTGGTAGTAGTAGTAGTAGAAGTAGTATAGTAGTAGTAGTAGTAGTAGTAGTAGGCAAGTAGAAGGAGTAATTATGCCTAGAGACGGCATGTTTTCGCACCACCGTATAATATTCCAGTTTCCGAAAACCTTTAATTTTAATTTTGATTTTTAAAATATTTTTTTTGTATAGATTTTGTTTTAGACCATGCAAATCCATGTTAAGTTAAAATATCAGATGGGGGGGGGGGGGGCGTGCCACATCATATCGATAAAGAATTACCCAAAGGTATATTTAGAGGTATGTATGCCTATCCGAGATGTTGATAATTATGTTGGATGCTAAACATTCGCTTGTGAATAATCATATTTATATACATCATTTCTATGATGGTTAAGTCTATTTTCCAGACAGACTAAAGTGATCTCCTTGATATTGCCCATGTTCTTGAGTTTGAATCATGGAAATGAAAACACGACAGAGCCTGATAAGCAGGCTAGTATAATACTACAGCCGTGTCAAGCATTATACCTGCGGTGTCATATGACCGCCTTATATAGGCATAGCTACATGACTATGTGTTGAGGTACAAGTTCACGGCAAATCGTAAAAGTTATTCGATTCTGCCTCTTCGGTTGTTTTGGATGGCTAATTAAGTCTTGCTTCTAAATGTTTATTGTTTATCATAATGTTGGTATGTGTTTATTGTGGTTGCAATTTAAAAAAGAATAATCACGACTATTTCCCTTTTTTCTGATTCGACTGTATAAATATTCCCCCCTCTCTCTCTCTCCCTCTCAGCTCTCTCTATCTCGTTGTCTTGTATGTTACAATTTAAAAAAAGCACCAAACAATCCGTAAACAATAACGACAAAATATTCAATTAGTTCTTCTTTCTCTTTTTTCTATACCTTTATCTTGTATCCTCTTCTCCCCCCTCTCTCTCTCTCTCTCTCTCTCTCTCTCTTTCTCTCTCTATCTCTCACACACATACTCTCTCTCCATCTCGTTGTCTTAATATTTCTTGTGTGTTAAAAATTTGAACAAAAAACCAAACAATCCGCAAATAACAACAACAAAATTCAATTAATTATTCTTTCTCTTTTTGTTCTATATATATACCTTTATATTATACCCCCTCCCCTCCTCTTTCTCCCCCACCCTTCTCTCTCTCTCTCTCTCTCCCTCTCTCTCTCTCTCTCTTTCTCCCTCTCTCTCTCTATCTGTCTGTCTGTCTGTCTGTCTCTCTATCTCTCTGTCTCTTTCACAGACTTATCTTGACAAGTGACATTCCAACCATGGCTGAAACGGATCCAGAAACGTAAGTTTTATTCAGAAATGATAATGTTGTTTTTAGAATGAGACCGTCTTTTATTCTATACCTAAACACCTCTTACATGAATTTTCTTTATTCTATTTTGCTTCCTACCCCTTTTTGGTTATCTTAGCCATTTACTTTTCTTATTATTATTTCTTTGTCATCGTTGTTCCTTTTCTTAGGCTTATGCATCGAAATCGTACATGATTCTTTTTGTTTTAAATAAATTGTTCACAATTTTTTTTTCTTCTTCATGTACCTAAGTATGTCGTTCTTGTGTCTTTTCCTTTTTTCTATATTTTTTTTTTATCATTGCGTCTCTTATTTTTCTTCTTCTTCTTCTACATTTTCTTCTATTTCTTCATCAACTTCATCCTTCGTTCTGTTTGTTTTCTATACCGTGAAAGTGGTCATATTTTCCCATAAATTTTAAAGAATTTTGCTAAATGAAATGTACTGTGTTGGCAAAAAAAGTCAACTCCCACCCCCCTCACCCCAAAGGTATTTGATGAAGAACACTGTTTCTCTTAAGTCATTCTTGTTGCAAATCTCCAACTTTCTTGCTTGTTTATTGACTGTTCTTGTGTGTGTTTGTTTATTTGTTTGATTATTTATTGTTTGCGTTTCAGTAAGCTAGTGACTTCATTGAATTAAAGGATGGGAATCTACATGTAAAATATTAAAATAGCTAACTGAAAATGAATTGTGTGTCAGAGGTGTGTTTTACAAAGACTAAGATCTACTTTAAGTTGGACTTACTATGGCAGGCTGTTCATGCCACTGTTTGCTCTCACCATTTATTTGCATTTGTCTCTCAAGGAACGTACAAATCATGGTCACAAATCTACATAATTTACATTTTTTGATAGTTCATTATTAAAGGAAAAATATTATCTAAAGATCATAATTGAAAGACCAATGGTGAGAGCAAGAATGGCCTGCCATAGTTAAGTCCAACTCAAAGTCAATCTTAATCTTTGTGAAACACTCCCCAGGAATAATTCAGCTCCTCCCCCCGCCAAAAAAATTAAGAATAAAAAATAAATATGATGATGTATGGCTAAGAGTAAAATTTGTGCATTGCCTTGGTCTTTGATCAGTTTGTATGTCCATTCATTTTGTTTGTTCATTTATTTGCCTTTTATTTTGAATGAAACAGAATGACTGATGAGGACAGACAACAAGCGGAAGAGAAGGTTTGAATTTTATAGAACAATAACCGCTAACAATGTACGAGTAGTGTCTAGTGAAGTCCTGTTTTAAAGTACTTGATGTCCGCTGTATAGTTTAGATGTAGAAGGTTGCATTGCTTAAAATGGCCGACCACCTTACTAATTACAAAATTTAGATTATATAAGTGTGTAAGTTAAATTTCTAACAAAACTATATGAATGCTGCACTAACGATGTATAACCCTCTCTGTAATTATAATGAAATCATACACGTCTGCAAAATGAGGACATTTCTCAATGGTGTGAACGATAAGATGAATATTATTTCGATGTTTTTGACATTATCTGCATGTACATTTCTGCACACCAAAATGACATTTTCCTTGATCATTTCCTATGATACATTATTCTCATTGTTACTGCATAGGACCCTGTTTGTTATTTTTTTCGGGCAACTTGTTTTAATAATCGTTGCACATGTTGCATGTTTGCTAATGTACTCTCTTAAAAAAAAGAGTGAATTTTCACTCTATTTTCACTTTCTTGGGAGTGACGTCCGTGATCACTTGTTTAGGAGTGAAAATCGATTGATTTTAGAGTGCTCTCTAAGAAGAAAAGAGTGAATGTTCACTCTATTTTCATTACATTTTCACTCTTATCTCCAGAGGAGTGACGTTCGCGATCACTCGATTTTTTTTAGAGAGTATGCCTTCTGGTTGCAAAGATCTTTACTTATTCCTCTTGTGTGTGCATGCGCGTGTAAAATGTGTGCATGATGATACCTTAGATATACAGGGTCACATTTCATATTGTCAGACAATAAGGGGACTGCGCCCCAGCCCCCCCCCCCCCCTCAATCCCTCCAAAACCCTATGCCGATTTGTTAGCTCGCTTTAAAAAAAAAATGAATTTACCTGTTTTTCAACTGTCTTCTCTGGCTCCTTAGTAGGTCCATGATAAAGAAAATGTTTTTGAATGCCCATCTATGGCGTAATTATCAAAAACACCACTGTAATATTGTTTCATTTGCTGATGTTGCTAATAATTTGGAAGTTCACGGTCAAAGAAGGTCAACATTCCCTGCATGTATTCAGAGAGGTCGACTCCACTCTATGTTCTCCTTTGGGCCTTTTAGTAGTGCATGCTGATAGAGGGATGAAAGCTAGAAGTCGTTTGTAGTTATGTTGTTCGTATATATTTACATGCATCCCATCATGTTTATTAACTCTGTGAATCGAGATTCACAGAGAGAAATAGAATGATAGATGGGGTATAGGGAATAAATGGGGAGAGGAGGGGGGGGGGGGGGCGACTCGAAAAAGGGTGCTTTGACCCCGCCAACTCGATAACCACAATCCATGGGATGGTATACAGGGCTGCTTTGCCAGATATTCTTCCAATGAAAATGGGCCGGGAGTGATAACAACTGTGGGAAAACACCTTGTCCAAGGATGAAAGCGCTGAGCAAGAATCGAACCAGCAACCTTTCGTATGGGAGTAACAAAACTCTGTGGGTAAAACACCTTATTCAAGGATGAGAGGACTGAGCAAGACTCGAACTAATGACCTCTTGTATGAGAGAGTTGAGCAAGAATCGAACTGAGGACCTATTGTATGAGAGCGCTGAGCAAGAATCGAACTAAGGACCTCTTGTATGAGAGCGCTGAGCAAGAATCGAACTAAGGACCTCTTGTATGAGAGCGCTGAGCAAGACTCGAACTAAGGACCTCTTGTATGAGAGTCAAGAATCTTATACCGCTGTGTGTTTTTTGTTTATCTTTGAAACAGAAAAAGGAGTTTGAAGCCGAGGTTGAAGAGGCTCGGAGTGACCTGAAGAAGGTGATAGATCAGTATGATGAGGAGATCAATGTTATCCGGGAAAAACAGGTAAGTGCCCCTCGGATAGGAAGCAATGGCCGATAATATAAGTCTGTTTGTAGTCTGGTATATACGCATGAGAGAGAGAGAGAGAGAGAGAGAGAGAGAGAGAGAGAGGTGGGAGAGAGAGGGGGAGAGCAAGGCTTGGGGATGAAGCCCCCCCCCCCTTAAAAAAATATCAATTAGGTATATAATTAAGTATATATATTAAGTATATATTTATATAATATTCATTATATCCATGTGGTTGGACGAGCAAGTGTGCGCTTGTAAAATGGCGACTGGCTGGAATGCTCCCCAGGGAGTGGAAAAAGTGCATACATTGTGTGCGAGTAAGCCTGAATCCGATGACCGGGGTAATAATATATCTGCAAAGCGCTTAGGCATATCGTCGGATCGATGTATTGAGCGCTATATAAACACGGAATATTATTATTATTATATATAATTATGATAAGTGAATTATAAATAATAATAAGAAGAAATATGCCCAATGTGAAGTGAAATACATAAGGTTTATTGCACATAAAAAAGGGGAAAGAAGAGGAAGGGGTATAAAAGAAAGAAAAATATGGTGATGGTAATGTTGGTGGTGATGATGATGATGATTGTGATAATGATTATGAGTGATATCGATAATAATGATATCAACAATATTAGTGTTTATAATCGAAACTCGGATGAAATGGAAAGAAAAACGGGAAGGAAGTAATGATCTAGATTGGAAGTGTTATGAGGTGTTCACAACATTTTAAAGAGTGTATATAGTTCTGAAATAAAAATTGCGAAATTGCTTCTCTATTCTTTTCTCTGCTCTCTTTTTTCTGGCAGGCTAGCCGTCGTGCCGAGCAAGCAATGTGGCTGGATAGGATAAAGAAGAATGAAGAAGCGCGCCGCCTACGACACGAGGAGGAGAACCGTCGTATCAAGGAAGCACAGGAGAAGAAGAAGAAGGAGAGAGAGGAGCGAAAGCGCGCCATGCAAAACCCAAACAAATTCCAACCAATCATTCAGGTACACAAATCGTCTGCAAATGTGATGTGATATTTTAGCATATACTTTTATAAACTTATATTGCACCTCCATATACATTTTGCGATAAGTTTTAAGTGCTTGCAAATCCATGATAGGGGCTTTAAACAATCGTCATCAAATCTCACATAGCATTATGATTGACCAATCATATACGTTGAAACACAATTTCACTAGTAGGATTTTTGACAACTAGATTTCAATGATCAATCAAACGGAAAATTTAATTGACCGATAAGAATCAATCTAACAAAGTTTGCCATCATTGACCAATCAGAATCAATTTAACATAGTGACCGAGCAGAAACAATCTAATACAACTTTGCTAGCAATTAGCATTGTCCTAACAGAATCAATAATACACTAATTTGCTAGAATTTGTCCAATCAGAGTCAATTTAACATAAGTTGTGCTACAATTGATAGTGTTGACCAATCGGAATCAATCAAACAAAACTTTGGTAACATTGACCAATCAGAATCAATCCAACAAAACTTTGGTAGCATTGACTAATCACAATCAAATTATTTACAAGTTTTAAACAACATTAACACGAGCCTCATTTTCTATTTTCGTTCTTGTATTTTCCTTTATTCTTTTTTTAGTCATGGTTTTGGTGCATTTTTAAGAATATCACTTGCTTCGTTATAATTATTGCTGTAATGGATGATAAGGACAATACATGAGACATCGATAATTGAATTTAATCCCTCGTCCTCCTTCTCCCTTTATCCTACTCTTCTTATCCCTCCCATCTCAACGACCTTTTTCTTCCATCTCCTCCAAATTTACTCTTACCGCCCTTCTCCCTCCATCCTTCCCTTAATGCCCATTCCCCCTGTTCCTCTTCCTATTCATCCTTCCCTCGTCACATTTTCTTCCTCCTCTCCTCCCGTTTCTCCTGCTCCCCGTCTACTTAGCTCCCTGCCATTCCTCCTCCCGAGTCCTCTTCCTCCTCCTTCTCCTTTCCTCCTCCTCCTTCCCCTACTCCTCCTCCTCCTCCTCCTCCTCCCCTCCTCCTCCTCGTCTTCTCCTCCTCCTCTTCTCCTCCTCCTCTTCTCCTCCTCCTCTTCTCCTCCTCCTCCCCCTCCTCCTCCCCTCCTCTTCCTCCTCCTCCCATCCTCCTCCTCTTCCTCCTCCTCCTCCTCCTCCTCCTCCTCCTCCTCCCATCCTCCTCCTCTTCCTCCTCCTTCTCCTCCTCCCCTCCTCCTCCTCCTTCTCCCATCCTCCTCCTCTTCCTCCTCCTCCTCCTCCTCCCCTCCTCCTCCTCCTTCTCCCATCCTCCTCCTCTTCCTCCTCCTTCTCCTCCTCCCCTCCTCCTCCTCCTCCTTCTCCCATCCTCCTCCTCTTCCTCCTCCTCCTCCTCCTCCCCTCCTCCTCCTCCTTCTCCCATCCTCCTCCTCTTCCTCCTCCTCCTCCTCCTCCCCTCCTCCTCCTCCTTCTCCCATCCTCCTCCTCTTCCTCCTCCTTCTCCTCCTCCCCTCCTCCTCCTCCTTCTCCCCTCCTCCTCCTCCTCCTCCTCCTCCCATCCTCCTCCTCCTTTCCTCCTCCTCCTCCTCCCCCTCTTCCTCCTCCTCCTCCCCTCCTCCTCCTCCTCCCCTCCTCCTCCTTCTCCTCCTCCTTCTCCTCCTCCTCCACCTCCTTTCCCCCTCCTATCTTTTCCTTCACCGACTCGATTCTCTCCCTCCATCCCTTTTCACCTTCTCTTTTCCCCTTCTCTTTTATCCCCTCTCCATCTCATCTCATATTCACCCCATGTAGGATGAGCGTGTCCGCTTCGCTAAGATGACACCAGCCGAGCTGAGGAAGGAGAAAGAGGAAACCCTAGCTAAGCGTGTCCCGGTGCTTGACCCAGAGAGTATGTCATCAGATGAGGGCATGAAGACCCTAGCTACTGAGATCCATACCAGGATCATGAAAGCATTCGGAGCTCTCTTTGATCTTCAGGAGAAGGAGAAGCGTCAGAAGTACGATGTAAGTTAATTACTGGGCCCATGGTAAAGTTGTTCACTTTCTTCTAAAAGGGAAATCCAACTTTGATAACAAAGTAATATACGGGAAAGCAGAAATTTAAAAAAGTAGACTCCAGCTGGTAAAAGCTTGAATGATTTCAGCCCAAAAGGGAGAAAGTTATGAATTTTGAAAGATGTAATCAGGTATGGGCTCTTCCAATTGGCTGAATCGGTAATGCGTTTGTGCTTCATATAGTTCCCTCTCATAGAGATGTACGTATGAGGAAACTATTTGGAGCAATTATAACCAATGACCCATCTCGCATACATGTAGATGCGCGTGTCGCAACTATCTCCCTCAATACGCTATGGTGCAAGGTATATATGCTAATTCGATGCATATTTCTCGATAACTTTTTTCCTAGAATATTCAAAAGCTTCCCCAAGGTTTGCCAGACATCACATAATATCCCTATCTCTCTTTCTTTCTCTCTCTCTCTCTCTCTCTTCTACTCTCCAGATCAAGGAGCTGACAACAAGAATCGAATCAATCCAGGAAGAAAAGTAAGTTTGATTTTCAAAACATTCATCCTTTCCAAATCTAAATCATTCATTTTGATAACAATATTATACAAGCAGTTAAAACAGTGATAAATGACTGTTCGGAATTGACGCATTTGAGAGGTGTCAAGCCTTACTCAGCAGTTCCATAAACCTTATAAACTATAATATTTGCGAATACACCCATTTTACCATGACATTTTACTTACCCTTAGAAGAAGAAATAGCATTTTATTTCTATTAAAACAAAACATTTAACCCTCAACATTTGTGGAACGATGGAAATATCAAACATTTGTTTTAAAACAAATTTGTTTTAAAAACCTTTCAGCCCTGTTTGAAAAGTGCTATACAATTTGTGTGGCACATAGGCTTAACGTACCATTTCTATTTTCTTAATTGGTTTCCTTGCAATTACTCTTTCTTTCCTCACAAGTAGTGCTAAAATAAGCACTGATCCTTTTATTTAATTAATATACATTTGGTTATGCTGAGAAAAGAAAAGAACTTTTCCCTTTTTCATACTTGTTAACGTTGTATGTTTTTAGTAAAATACGTCACTTAGAGATAACCCTCGTGTAATCATATAATCCTTTTGTAAATACCTTATGTTATTCAGATATCCTAACTTACACAATCCATTAACTGGGACCTACATAAGACAATCTTTGCCTTTCAGTAGATCCCCCACTTTGCTCTTCTTTTTCAGTGTATTTATATTACTTATGATTGTGTCTTTCGTCATAACTATTACCATTATGTTTCTATATTGTATGGTTAGTTATAATTATTACCATGTATATTATGTTCGACTAAGTTATTTTCGAAAAAGTGGAAACAAATAATTTGAAACTTGAAACTTGAAAAGGATTATTAATGTGTTTTCAAGGGCACCAACGAATCCACTTGGTTTCGAACCTGGATCCTTAAGAGCCCACTCCTTTATACCACTGAGCCGTCTCCCCCTACCCCCTCTCAAGCACAACTGACATTTCCTTAACTGTAGGTTGGTTTGTGCTTTGGTGTTTCAACCATTCACTTTGAACGCAGTACAAGTTGATTTTCGAGATTTTTCCCCACAGATTTTTTTTTCATTTCGATATGACATTCTTTGTTTTTTCCCTTTAGATTGAAAGCATCAAAGAGTGCAGACGGAAAGATTCAAAAAATTAACATCCCTTTCGGGGTAAGAAAAAAACAACTTTTTCGGAGAACAGGTTGTTCTAAGCAAAGTTCGAAATCATTTTAACGCTAATTACAAAATCAGATCTACTATTTTTCGTTTCCCCGATTATAAAAATATAGAATACAAATATATTGAAGCTTAGCTTTGATAATGAAATTTCATTTTCGAAAGAAATTAGCTTGAATGGCCATACAGTGTATGGATTAGTGAAATATAGAGAAATTAGAATAAACTTCCTAGAAATCACATCTGCTCAAAAGCCAGGCATAATTAGTATTTTGCTTATGTATTTATCATTAAACTATTCATTGATTTATTTGTTTAATTTTCATTGAATTATCTGTTTATTCGTTTATTTGTTCATTAATAATTTAATGTATTTAATAATATACGAAAATATTATAAAGCGCTTGTGACATAAAAGTTTCAAAGCGCTTTACACAAATCAAGATTACTTCAAGAAAAATCAATATTACTAATGGAATTAACATTTCTTAAATTACCAAGAAGATCAAACAATACTCACATTACTAAAGAAATTAACATAACATGTAAATTCCTTGGAAAATTGAAAATAATATATTAATAATAGCAACGATTAAAAAAAAGACATAATGTAATCATTGTAATACAAATTCAAACTTACTTAATAGTTATTTGGATTGTTTATGGAATAGGTGAGTTTTTAGATTCTTGTTGAAAATGTCAATGATGGGTGAGTCCTGGATATGGGCGGGGAGAGTGTTAATAATTTATTTATTTATTCATTCATTCCTAGATATGGGCGGGGAGAGTGTTAATAATTTATTCATTTATTCATTTATTCACTCTTTTTTCTTGCAGGAAGTTAACGCAGAAGCTGACTGAGGGATGAAGCTCTGCAAAGCATATCATAGGACAGGATGAAACAGTTCTCAATTTTTCTTATAAAAACACCCATTCATCAAAATCAATACGTTTTATTGCAAGTCTGATTACTCAGCTTGAGTCTATTGCATTGGTGTCATCTAAGCAGAAACTCATATAGGACAAACAAAAGCTTCACATTTTGTATTATCTTTCAATTTTGTTATTTATATTTCTAACGGCGCTTTCGTTTTGATAGGACTTTCTTTTGTGCCCTTAATTGTTACCTATAATCACAGGTAGAAATTCCAGTTGATACCAGCTGAAAGCAGTAAGGATTTCCATCTGGTATATCTACTGGTTTGAACTGGTCTCAACTGGTACTTTACCCCATTCTTTCACTGATGATATGTTCCGAATCAGTATCTAAGCATCAAAAAGTCATCAAAAATATTTTACAAACAAATTCATGACTTTCCACTGGACATGAATAAGGCAAGGTGTACAGTGTAGGTGTATAACTTTTTTTGTTCAACAGGTTTATGATTTAGCACCAGCCGTGCGCCGAGTAACGGGTGTCGGGTTGTTCGTGGCTTGGTCTTCAATCGAGGCTTCGGCTGATGTTCGGTGTCAAGCACCCGGTGTTGATCTGTAGCCCTCTAACACCATCTTGACACCGATAAGAGTTTTTCTTGGCTGAATACTCGATAGAAGATCCAGCTGATGTCAAAGTGTTTAAACCTAAATCGTTTTGGGCCTTTACATTTCATTAAACAGGGACTGATGTGTATAATTAAATTTAACATTGAGTGGGTGTAAGTTTTGGGATTGTTGTAATATTTGGTAAAAACTGTTAAATTCCGAGTGACTATATTAAATTAGAGCTTGATATAATCGAAATACCTTTCACCGTGGGTTGGGGATATCTGTGGGCCTAGTGTTATTTCAATAAAATATTTTACTTCGAAAAGTGATCCACCGCTTCTTGTTTTGATTTGCCCTTTCATTGCTTTTTTGCTTTTCTGCCCCTTCTCTCTTTCTCCCACTCTCCCTCAACCATGCACATTCTTTCTTATGATACATTTAGATTCGGAGATATTCAGAGAGTAGGTTGATGAAGAAGAGAGGGAGAAGAGAGGGAGAAGAGAGAGAGAGAAGAAGAGAGAGGAGAGGGAGAGAGAAGGGAGGGAGAGAGAGAGAGAGAGAGAGAGAGAGAGATAGGAGAGGGAGGTAGAAAGAGAGAGAAAGGGAGACAGGGGATAGATGGAAAGTAAGATATTTCAAGATTCAGAGAAATTCAAAGAGGAGAGTGAGGAGTAGGCTGGCAGGCAGAAAAGAGAAAGAGAAAAGTGGAGGGGAGGGGTAAAATAGAGGAGAAGAGAAAGAGAGAGAGAGAGAGAGAGAGAGAGAGAGAGAGAGAGAGAGAGTGTGTGTGTGTGAGAGAGAGAGAGAGAGAGAGAGAGAGAGAGAGAGAGAGAGAGGAGGGTGGCAGAATAAGAGAGGGAGGGAGAGAGAGGGGGTAGATGGAGATCAAAGATTTTTAAAAGATTTTCAGTGCGAAGGAGAAAGAAAAGGAGAGGGAGAGCGAGGAGGGGAGAGAGATGTGAACAATACACCTGCAGTAAATGTAACAAGAGAGAACTGGTCCAGATTTAACACGGTAAAGATATAAAGCAGTCATGTACGAGAAACTGTTCAATAGTATCATATTTAATCATTTTGAATATTTATTTTACATCCATATCCTAACTCCATCTTTACCATGGTTGATACACAACAATACAAACAAGTATGTACTTACACATGTGTATCTAAATACTGTTTCATGCAGAAGATTGGAAATTTACTCCATATTATAATGAAATATTCAATGTTAATATTACGTTTATTGGACATTTTCAATGCTTACATAAACAGACAAAATACCAATTGTATTATTTTGGTCCATGACCAATTTACATTTGTACTTTTGAATTGACCTGAATTTGAACCCTCTTCAAAGTGGTGATTGAATAACTCTTTTGTGAGTGGTTTCCTCTCCAAACAAAGTGAACCCTGATATGACTCCACAAGGGTATGGAAAAGGCTAATCTGGCCAGGGGGTGTTTCACAAATCTGTTTGTAAAGTTACGCATGACTTTACGAACGACTTATATATGAAGTGCCAGAAAGGATGCCCAAAGTTTTTCCTGATGTTTCCAATAACCTCAATTAAATTATGGCAAAAAATATACTTTGCATTAAAAATGTTTGTTATTATAAGAATTTTAATCTTCATCTGCACAGTTCAACGTAAGTTCAACCCTGGGGGGTGTTTCATAAAGCTGTTCGTAAAGTTACGCATGACTTTACGAATGACTTATATATGAAAAGCCAAATGGGAAGCTCAATCATTTTTAACTGCATCAACTAAAGTTGAACTGTGCAGATGTAGATGAACATTCTTATCATAACAAAAAAATTTGATGCAAAGTATATTTTTTGCCATAATTTTATTGAGGTTATTGGAAATATAGTCACACTTTGTTAAAACATTAGGAAAAAACTTTGGGCATCCTCTCTGGCACTTTATATTCAAGTCGTTCCTAAAGTCATGTGTAACTTTAAGAACAGCTTTATGAAACACCCCCCTGTTTACTAACTTTATGCATACTTCTTGAACAAAAGTTGCTCTTCACAACACAAAAGCTTGCCAGAAGCTTGCCAGACATAGCAACAACTAGAATATGTGGAGTGGATTCCATCAATTGAGATACATGTTTTATACAAGATGAAATAAATAGAATTCAATTCAACTGATTCCCACACTGCACCAATAAAAGAGAATGGTTATGGTACATGCAATTTTTCTGAATGTTAGTTGTTTAATAATGTTCATATTTCTTAGGGTTCATACATGCAGAGCTGCCAACCCCAACTAAAATAAAATCCTATTTCCCCCCCCCCCAAATCCCATATTCAAAATAAATATCCTATTTTTGACTGATAAATACTTTCTTTCCGCGAACATGCGTTTTTGTTGTTGTTGTGTGTGGTTGTTTTTAGGGGGGGGGGGGGTTTCCAATATTCATAGGTTGCCACATACAGGAAGAATTTTTTTTTTAAAGATCATTGGTTGAATATGCATGATTTTTGAATGGTGTGTTCGATGAACCAACGAACATCGCCAAATTGCTGATGTGAGATGCTTGTAAGGATACTTTACAGGAGGGAATTGGCAGTTTTTATTGTTGGAAAATCGTATTTTTATTGAGGAAAAATCGTACTGTCCTATTTACTTCTAAAAATCGTACGAAATACAATAACAAATCGTATTGGTCGGCAGCTCTGTACATGTAATTCCCAAAATGACATGTCTGAAAATGAAGTTCATGTAGGGTTCATAATTCCAAAAATGAAGTTGGGTTCATAGTTCTGAAAATTGAATAGCTAGCACTCATAATTCTGGAGAGAAAAAAAGGATACATAATTCTGACAGTTCATAATTCAAAGGTGAAACAGAAGCCTGTTTCATTTTTCGGCATTACGAACCATTGGAATAATGCATGAAATGCTTAAAATTATAAACCCTATTTTCTTTTTTGGAATTATAAGCCCCCTGACATGAGAAACGTGCTTTTTGTAATTATGAACCTTCAGAAAAAAAAGAACTTTCAGAAATTTTTTTTCGGCATTACGAACCATTGGAATAATGCATGAAATGCTTAAAATTATAAACCCTATTTTCTTTTTTGGAATTATAAGCCCCCTGACATGAGAAACGTGCTTTTTGTAATTATGAACCTTCAGAAAAAAAAGAACTTTCAGAAAAAAGGTTACCCCCCCCCCCCCCGAAAAACCACCTTAATCCAGTGGCCCTGATTATCAATAATCACATTGGAAATCATATTGCTCATAATAAACTTCTGTAATATCACATGTACATCCCACATTTATAAAAAGAAACATTAAAATCACACGAGCATGAAATATCAAATGAATACACAGATATAATTCATGTACTAAAAACATCACCACAATTTGAAATAAATGAAAACATATAAATGAACAGAAATGTATCTTGTCAATTTGTGGTATGATTTGACAAAAGAGATGTTCCAATACATAGAGACACCAAAAATGGTCCCTCGTAGCAGTGAAAAAGCCTTATCTTAGTGAATTTCAAGAAATTGAAAAGAAACAAGAAAAACAGCAGTACCAAAATGTCCAAAAAGCAGTAAAAAAGGTTATTTTTTAAACTCAGAGAAATACAAAAATGGATTTCATTACTACTACATAACATTTTGGATTGTATCTCACACAAAATATTTCACCACTTTTGGCAAGTTACAAGATGACACAAATGAGCTTAGAAACTCCAATATGTCTCTTTGAAGTAATAGTGTCGTTTCTCTGCTCTCAATATCAATGAAGTTTCACCAAGTCTAAACTAATTCCTACAATGACATGAATAGCAGGGATTAAGGTTTGTTCGCAAAGGATGCAGTAAACTCCACAACATTTTGTTTTGCTGGGGTTTTTTTCAATTTTTTTTAATTAATCAATTTTTCTGTTATGTGTAAATGAATTACGAGTGCCAATGTGCTGTTGGAACTTGTAATGTATACTATTCAGCTTCCATTTAGCCCTATTACATGTACACTTAAAGTGTATAGGTACATACCGCTAGTTGCATCTGGAATACACATATTCTTATGGCCCGAGGATCATGCACCTTGATGATACCTTATAGCAAACTCAGGTTATTCTAAGCTAAACAAAAAAAAAAAATTTCATGCAGTGCTGCACTTCATGCTTGGCTGGTTTGATATATTTCCCCCTCACCAAATCTGACTCCGCCTCCACAACAGTTACATATTCATGAATATGCATAGATATATTTGTAACAATTTTACCACGTGTCAAACTGACAATGTATCACACTGACACGTAACAAAAAAAAAACAGCGAAAGTACTGTCCATCTACATCTAAACCTGGTTACATAAATAACTTTGATTCAAATTTTTTGTTGTTGAATAAGACACAGTTCAGCTCATGGGCTGTGTCATTTCTACTAAAACTACAGTTTGACATTAAAGCCTCTTCTATTGAAAAGAATACGAAAGGTAAGCAACAGTAGATCTATATGCATGAAGAACTTGACCCCAAAATGTTTTTTAAATATAATTTAAAAGAGAATTGACATAATTTTAACAAACATCTTGTTGTACATGTGTATGCACTTTCCGCCCCGTAATGCTTTACAACTATGCGGCATGCTTAAATATCATTTACACAGCATTTATTACAGAGTATATCAATGAATTAGTACCTCCTATTTTGAGTTGTAAAATATAAATAGGAATGTACATGAACCATTTAAGTCCTACAAAATTAAAAACAAAAGTGAAAATTCAGACTGTGTGATGTAAAAAAATAAAATAAAAGGAAAACTTGAATACAATACAGGGAAACCGGTTTAAAAACAAAGTAAAGAGTACCACGGTCCCCAGAAAACGACCTTGTTATTATAAGCGAGTTCGTAAATAGCTTTGGAACGCATGACCCCAAAATATCCACAGATCTTAGACACGATGGATACTTCCCACCTGTGCATTTTAGAATAATCACTGCCGAAGTGATGGAGGTGCTTCATGAATACCTTTTGTTTGCCTCTTCAGAAGAATACTTCCACCTGAGTATCAGATAAATGTACTGTTGGTGCATAAATGAATACTGATTACATAACTTTCATGAGCACGATCCAAGTATTCGTCTCAATGGTTTTACAATTTGGGTACGAATGACCTTTTATCTGCCCATGCGCAAATCCTAATTACGAACTTGCTTATTAAATCTTGCTACATAACAGCCCAAATAAATAAATAAATAATAAATGAATAAATAAATAAATACAACAAATTGGCATCGAGGGCACACATGTAAATGGCAAGTTCTTGCAAGATAAAAAAAATAAAGAAAAAAAATAAATACAAATAAATAAATGAATAAAAAGAAGTAATACAGTCAAAAATAATCTCACAACAGTTTTGATTGAGACAAGGTTCCCGCATACAATTTTTTCCATCATGAATGGTTTATGCAGTTAACTATTAATACTTTCAGAGAAGGTGCATAGTAATCCAAACAATGTCAAGTTGAGTTAATAATCTTGCAGCATGATTCACTATTCAATGGTAAATCATAAAAACATTAATTTTTTAAATTTAAAAACAGAGCAAATATAGATGGTAATAATAAAACAAATGTACATCTAGCTATTTCAGGGATTTCAGCATTTTAGGAAAACAAAATTCCTTGATTTTTCCCACAATCAAGTTTCAATATTCCGGAATCATTCCAAACCTACACCTTGAATCCTGTGTATGCCTCTGATAAATGTAGCTCTCTCTACTCACTAGACCATATCACAGCTGAAAACTTGTAGAACAATGTTTCAGTCGTAACAGTGCAATACCTTGCATCTCATGTATGTTTCTGCTGATGCAGCTCCGTTAACGAAGGTCTACTCTATCTCATTTTTACAAAAGACCGGTTTACTAGCATATTCCAATTTTACGCATACTGTTTAAAGAAAGGTTGGTTTGACAACCTGAAAGCTTGTCCGAGGCTTGCCAGACACTGCAACAAGTAACGTAAGCAGACTGGATTCCAAGTATCGTAGTTCATTCATTATCAATGGAATACCTCGTTACTAGGTCCCCAGGAAAGAAACATCCATAAATTTCTATATATGGGAGTAAACTGGTTTATTCTAATGCTTAAATATATCACCTGACGAAGTGTAGCAGCGGCACACAAAACGTCGTGATCTTTCATATCCCTTGTTGACCATACATTGCGAGACAAACAAATGTCAATAGCAATATTATTTTCGATGGTTTATTCTAATCGACAGTTCTCATATATCTGATGCCTTACCATATCATACATGTATGCATTCTACTGTTCCACCTCCATGACAAAAGTCCACCATATCCAAATTGAATAAATACCATTTCTACGATGAAGTTCACATTTGTATTATTTCACAAACATTAGCCTACAGTCCCACATCTTACATCTGATGTAGGTTTGTGATGATGAATCTGTATCTACTCAGTTGGATAAAGAAACAAAACAAATTTGATCCATAGTACAGTATCTCACTTGAAGAAAGACCATTTTTGTTTACGAGTCAGTCGATTGACAGTTCTAATATTTCACAAATATTTCCCCACAGTCCCACATCTTATGTCTCATGTAGGTTTGTGATAATGAATCTTCATCTACTTAGCTTGTAGAAGGAGAAGATGAGACAGCTAGCAGAGAGTGTCATGAGGGTCCCCCATATCCAGGTCGGTGAGCCCATATATTCACGGATGGCCAGCTGTCAAAACAGAAGGTTGAGAAAAGGTACATGTAAAACAATATTTTGTGAGCTTTATCAGTTTTGTTTGTATCCCGAATAGACCCATTTACTGATTTTATGCATATTTCTTGAAGAAAAGTTTCCCATGACAACTCAAATGGTTGCCAGGGGATTTCCAGATATAGCTACAAACTATGAATATGACGGACAAAGAAAGCGGACAAAATATACAGTTCCTCAGGTAGACAAGGAACATCCCTTCACTGATATTATGTAAAAATGTGTAGAACAGGTGAATATGCATGTGACACCCGTTCTACACATTTTTACATAATAGCAGTGAAGGGATGTTCCTTTGTCTACCTGAGGAACTGTATATTTTGTCCGCTTTCTTTGTCCGTCATATTCACAGTGACAGCTGATAGATGTAAAGTGGATTGCTTTCATAGAGATGTCATTATTTATAGCAGGTCAATCAAATAGATAGAAAACATGGATTCTGGAGAGAATCATGCATAAATTTAAATACATTAGCTAACAGGTCTATTGTCCAATGAAAAGGAATGGTTTTGTATTTCTAATATGACAAGATCATAATGGGCATTCGGACTATTGAAATACTATTATTCTTTAATATCAGGTGAATGAAATACTTTGTATTGAGGCACTTCACTAAGACTTATGTATTAAATTTGGTAACATTACGAAAATGGCCTATCATGAAGCAAGCATAGTCTCATAAGATAAAAATAAAGGCTACTCTGGCAAAATCCGAGTCTCATATTTCGTTTAAATATCTCTCTTGTTGAATTGACATGCAGAATACACTTTATAAAACAATTATTGACTGCTTATTTTTCAGGTCAATGAAAAAGCAACAGTACAGCTCCTTGACCATCCTGAGACTGCACTTTGCCCCTCCACTTTGTAGAAAAGCACATACACTTTTTTCATATTAATACAATTGTTCAAACCATGCTCCTCCAAGGCTAAAAGCTGTCAATATTTGTTAAATAAACTAAGTGACAGCACCTTGATACCTCTGGAAAAGGTATTATATTATATAAATCCAATTACAATCAAACCTGTCTACAGCGACCGCCCAAGGGAAAAACAAAAAGTGGTCTTTTTAGACAGGTTTCCTTTAGTACATGTTTCAATGAGAAACCATTTTCAAGGGAAACAAAAAATGTGCTTGTTGTAGACAGGTGGTCACTAAAGCAGGTTACTATAATCACTACAATGAACTTTTTTTCAAAAACCTACCCATCCACCCTTGTTAACAATCCAGTGGGCGAATTTGATAACAAGGAACTTGACGACTTCCTTGATCAGCTTGTTGATCCAGCTAGGAAAACTCTTATCCATAATTGTTTCTATTGCCTGGAGAGAGAGAGAGAGAGAGAGAGGGAGATAGATTGACAAATGAAATGAAAATGTATATTCCCTTTCAGGATACGTACATGTACAACTCTAGACAAATAGAAATGCCTCTACCATTACTATCACTACAACCACCACTACCACTACTACTATAACCCAACACCACCACCACCACTACAACCACAAACACCACCACCATCACCACTACCACCACCACCACCTTCACTACCATCACCACCACTATAACCACCAACACCGCCACCATTTAGATAACCACCATTATAACCACCATCACCACCATGATCACCACTACCATCACCACCACCACTACTTCTACTACCATCGCCACCACCACCACCACTACCACTTCCACTTACCCTTGCACGCATCCTGTAAGTGAAGTAAAAGAGACCAACTATTCTACTACCATCACCACCATCACCACCATTACAACGTCCCATGGCACACATCCTTTAGGTGAAGTAGAAGAGACCAGCTATTGAACAACAACCACCATCACCACCACTACTACTACTACTTCTACTTTCATCACCATCACCACCACTACTACTTCTACCACTATCATCACTACCACCACCACCACTTCCACTACTATGAATACTTACCCTAGCACACATCCTGTAAGCAAAGTAGAAGAGACCAACTATTCTACCCCATGTGATATCACCATCTCCAAAGATGACATGTGCCACTGCTATGATGGCCTCGATGGGTGAGTCGACTGGAACAGAGCTTATCATCCTGTAATAGAGAGACAAGAACATCCGGTTATTTGAAACTCTGAAAAAACGATTACATATCTTTTTGATACAGTAGGCTTACGGTTGCTCCATGTAAGAGGGGAAGGATTGGGGAGTCCAGAGAAGGACTGTTGGTAATCTTTAAAGAGTGTGTGTAGTCCTGATTGTTGGTAGTCCCCAGAAGGACTGTTGCTTAGATTTTTCTTGAGCTTAAAGTTCTAAAGAGAACTATAGAGCCGGTAGGAGAGGATGGTGCAACCGTAAGCTTTATGTATATCTACATCACCATTCAAGCCGATACCTATAGCAGCATATATCTGTTTTACTTTACTTAAATGGCTTTAAAAAAAAAGTTCTACCTACTCAAACTGTACTTTTGTGTAAAGTGTTGTTATGTGATTAATTATCTTTTGCACTTATGTGCCTTGAGAATACGATTCCAGGTCAATATGGCACCTGTCAAGTCTTATTTATTATCATTAATATTATTCTGGGACGAATACTAATTGTTACTATTTGAATATTCATGCAAACAGGTATTCCAATAGTTCGATTATGTCGAATACCAAGTTCCATAGTCAATTGTGCAATCAGTCTCCTGTAAGCCAAGCACTCACCTCTGCAGCTCTCGATCCCTGTCTAACGTGTCTCCGATTGACCTCAACATGACCCCGACCTCTGACCAGACAACCTCTTGCTCACTCGGCACAGCGAGCCCCGCCCTCAGGTCATCCAGCCCCGGAGCATCGGCAAAACCATCCTGCTGGAATCGTTCTACGATGAAATGCTGAAGGAGAACAGTCGCTTGCTCCCCAACGTCATCACGGCTCACTTGGCGTTCAAGTTGGATACGTGTCTGCTCAAAATGCAAACTTGTCGTTGCTGAAATCAAAGATTCAAACGAATGAATGAACCTAAAAATATCATTGGATATGTTTTCCAATTTAAATCACTGTAGATTTTATTATTGACTAGGGCCGGTTTTCAATTAAATACTTAAGTACAAAATTTAAGCTGTTTACTTAGTATTTGGCTCAAGTAATTCACCTAGCCAATTTTGGTATTCAATTCAAACTTTTGGCTAAGTATTTTACCCTACATCTGAGACAGTTCCCTACCAGACTTAAGCCAATTATTAGGAGGCCTTGATAGGTAGGCATAGCCTGGGAACAATTATGTTAGTGCGTATTTATTGCGACGCATTATTTGCGCATTTCTTACGATCGACCGTGTGATGTCACAATACTTATCCATAAGTATTTTACTTAGATTTTGTCTTACAGTGTACATATGTAAAAGTACTCTAAAATGCGATTTGAATAGGAGATACCGGTAAGTAAAGTTCTTGATTTACTTAATAAATTACTTACTTATTCTAAGTATTGAATTGAATACCGGCCCAGACCCTTAAATCGCAATTTAGTGTCACCTTTTCTTTTTGTAATGTTTTATATCTTTTGATCCAGAATGCTCTGAATGACATGTACACCTGTACATGTACATGAGTCACAATTTCTGTTGCAGTACATTGTGCCGTAAATATGAGTAATTTCATCAAATATAATCACTGAAGTCTCTAAATAGGCAAAACCAAATACAATCTAGGATCACTATTTTTATTTACAACTTCAGGTACAAAAGACAGAGCCCAAGGAGGACCTGAGTTCTGTGCATGAGCATATTATTGCAACATTTAGCCTGCTGATGAGTTGTGTTACCTTGAGCTTCATTTACTCTTATCCTGCCATAATGAATACAGCCTTAATGTCACAGGGTTAATCCACATTGTGCCAACCCTCAAATCCCCCTGTGCCAAGTTAATTTTGAGATAATCGGATTAATGGGATGGTACTATCAGTAGCGCGTGCAAAACACTAGGCACAGTGCAATGGACATGAACAATAACTGCTATTACGAATGCGAGCATGCATGGACAAAGCAGATATAAAGCGGTAGCTCGCTCGCATGAATGAAGCAACCAATCAATAGCGCGCTCACGTGTACAAAGCACTATTACGGTAGCGTGCAAGCAGCCTTATGGCAGGATATGAGTTAAGAGAGCATTTGAACTTGCAATTTCCTTTTACACAAGTAATATATATATCACTCATTCATCTACTGAACTACTCTCCTGACAAATCTAAACTTTGGAAGAGAGAGTTCTGATCAATTTAAAGGTAATACAAAGTTTTGGTATGGGGTCATAAATTTGGTTCAAATGAACATATTGGAAGTACATGTATATGCGATCCGACAATATTCAGTGATCGTTGCCGCGGTATAAATCGATTCTAAAGTTATGAAATTGTAAATAATAAACTCTTTATGATGTATAGCTCCCTCTCAAGGTCAAAAAAATAATTAAGCTATTAAACAATGTGTTTGACTAAAATTGACCGATTTATAGTTATTCCCGTTTGGATATTATATATCACAACTACATATTCTGAGATTTTCATGGTCGCAGCTACCATTGTACGGCCGTAGGCGCTATTTGAAATTTATCAAAATTTACCGGGAGTACCAACAAATTTTTATATTCAATTTTTCTCAAAAGCAGAAGTGTTTTAGGGGATAAATTTTCTAGTGCTTATAATACATCCACAGGGGCATCCAAATATATCAAAATTGTAAAGAATCACTATCAACCAAATTTTCAAATTTCCCAAAACTTTGTAGTACCTTTAAGCCAACCGCACATTACATGACCTCACTACCATCCCATATTGGAAGAGTCGGACAATGCATTCAACATGAACATTGAAACATGTAAAATCTTCAAAATCAAAGTTTGGAATGTAAATACATGTAGTACCGGTATATTACAAAATTTGAGGGACTGCAAGCTTCCTTGAAGAAGGAAATCTCATTTCGACTGAGAATCGTCATGAAGTATTTCAGTTGTGTGACCGTCTATTTGGCTTCTAAGCCAACTAGAAATATTTTGATTATTAGTGTAAGAGTTAAAATTAGACTCATTCCCTACTTGTATTTGTCACAATTACTATTTGTTTCTGTATGCTCCTCACTCTATACATATTCATTTCACATCATTTACATATTCATTTCCTCCATTCATCTCCTCCACATACATGTATCAAGTTTTAAAACAGGTGGCCGGACAGCTGGTAAGTTCTCTTCTTATTCTTGTGTGTAGACTTTACATATTTTCACTTCTTACTTAATATCATTGGTTCTCTTCTCCTTTTCCTTATGAATATTCAGTTTTATTCTCAAATCCTATTTTGCTATTGGTTGATGATGCATTTCATTTGAATATACTTTGCATGAGGCTGCACATGGACAGCATGCGACATGTAAAATAAAACACATACAGACCTCGACTGGACATAAACTGTGTGAGTTGTGTTGATTTAGGGCTCTGTTATTATTATAAGTTGGAGACTGAGGAGAGGATATGTGAGTTTGGCAGTGGTTTGTATGATTGGTGTCACAGTGATAAATTGGCAACCTGGCACCCCACTCAGTGTTATTTAGGGTACGCATATGCGTGTTCCCAGTGACCCCCCTTTTCAGCAAAAGTCTGGGGTGTAACGTCAATACGGGTAGACCTTTTTCTTTTGTTACGAGCTGTAGGGTTTGGAAATATGCATGGTATCCCTCCGTTCACGGAGTGGGGGTGGGGGGGGGGGCAGGATTGGCAAGAGGTTAATTTTGATTAGTTTACATTAGTATTAATATCATTATACAGAACCCCAGTCTGGAAGATGACGTTTCTTTAAATTGCCATAATTATGCCTCAACAATTTCTTGGATAACAGACCGTTAACTTAATGAAATTTGGAGTGGACTTTAAAAGATTAATATATTCAATTGTATGCATACTTTATAAACGACGGTTGTTCCGAACAACCAGGAAGCTTGCCCAATGCTTGGTCAACATAGCAACAAGTAGAGTCACGGGTCCAAAGTATGGTCACAGTTCTAAACAAGCGCCAGTAATGTATGCAGTGTGGATTCCAAGTTTGGTTGTAATTCATTCAATGAAAAAAGTTGAATGGAATAACTCATCACTAGGTCCCCAGGAAAGAAACATCCATACATTTGAATACGTACAATAAGTAAACCCGTCTATTGGTAGGGTGTCTGATCGCGCACCTGGTTTTGTGTGCTTAAACCCTTCCCTCAGACATTGCACACATCCCTATGCAGTTCATGTGCATTGCACGCTCATGCAAAATTGGTCAATGTTTTTATTACCAAATTGTGATTCACACCTTTATTTTTTGTGATCCTGAAGGCGATGCACAACAAATGAGGTGTCATATGAAAGAGCATGTTTATCTCCATATTCCCCAAAGGGGGTCGTCTCAGAACTCTAAAAATATAAAGACGGTGATTTTAACATTGTTTCCATTAAGGCTATGAACCGTGTAATGAGGTACTCGAGTACACTCCCAAGCTTACAGGCGGATACTCGAATACTCGGACGCAATGTTGTTTTTTTTGCCACCACCATACTACTGCCCAAAAAGGAATAGAAGGAAATTTGTTACAATATCTACAAAATTATTTGACAGGACGAACTTTTCAGGTAAGAATTAATAATACTGAATCAAAAACATATGATATGCATAATGGACTCCCACAAGGAAGTATTTTGAGTCCACTGCTATTTAATTTAATGATTAGTGATATCCCTACAGATCCTTCAGTGCCTTTAGCTGTATATGCTGATGATTTTGTCATATGGGCATGACTGAGGTAGGGATATCCTTCAAATATCAAACAAACTACAGGAATACCTGAATAGGCTCCAGACTTGGTTTCGCAGATGGGGATTTCGGCTTTCGGCTGATAAGACAGTCCCTATATTTTTTACAAAAAGTACAATGAATCTGTCACCACTGTAAGTAGAATTAGACGGGAATAAAGTGCCCTTTCAGAATACTCATCATTTTCTGGGGGTAACTTTTGATAAGAAATTGACCTGGAAGCCACACGTGGAAAATGTTGTAAAGAGATGTAAAAGAAAATTGAATATCCTAAGATGTTTAACAGGAACTAAATGGGGGAGCTCTTCTAAATCCCTCGGAAAGGTTTACAGGGCATTCATAAGATCTTTACTCGACTATGGATGTGAGGCTTACGATAGCACTACTACCACCACAAAAAAAGTAATCGATTCGATGCAATACCAGGCGCTACGGATTTGTGCGGGAGGACTACCTCTCACTTCCCTACAATCATTAAAAGTGGAAATGGGTGAATTTCCCTCGGATCAAAGGAGACAAATTGTGTCAAGTAAATATAGACAAAGTATCAAAACATCCCCAAACCACCCATTATCACAAAACATAGGGCCATGTTGGCAATTTGATTATCTAAAGGGAAAAGACTTTCTTAGTAAACCTTTCGGGTATAGAACCCAGAGTAAAATAAAAAACTTCATGACAGAAACTGCCGTACCATCCCCATTCCCGCCATGGCTTTTTGAACCCCCACTGGTTTTGACCGAGTTGAGCTCTCGGATTTCAAAAGCCGACCATCCGAATGAACTACAGCAACAAAGCTTAGAATTGATTAATTCAAAATGGTCGAACCAGTTGCATACAGATGAATCTAAGTTTCCGGGGAAGGGCCAATGCTCGGCTGCTTTCTATATCCCACACTTTTCTGTACACCGATGTAAAAGATTAGCGAATTTTACCTCATTAAATAGAGCTGAGTTGGCTGCCATTGTTCTTGCCCTTCAAACAAATATCTATACAGGTGCAGTCATTTTTAGCAACTGCTTAAGTACCCTCACAGCCTTGAAATATTTTAGTGACAAATTCTTTGTCACAGAAATATTTATAATAACGACCCAATTGAAATATAGAGGGATGGAAATCTCTTTGGAATGGATTCCAGGCCACTGT